AAAAAAAAAAAAAAAAAATAGCATTGGTTCACATCAAAAGCACAGTGGAGACTGTGTTCACTAGGATAGGTTTAATCATCGTCTTTCATTATGTTGACATTTTTGAAGAATACTGACCTGTTTTGTAGTGTGTCCCTTAAATTGGGTTTCTGGGTGCTTTTTCATGATTAAATAGATTGAAAGTGATAGGAATACACAGAACTGATGAGTTAACATGATTCATGTGTAGATTCCCACTTTATTCCACAAGTTACAATCCATTGCTGTCATTAGGGCTGGCTGCATGATTTGTGAGGCCCACTGCAGATGAAAATGCAGGATCCGGAGTGGGGATGAGGGAGTCAGTTTCCTCTTTTCATGGGCTGACTGCTTCAATCCTTGGAAACAGGCAATGCACAAGCCCTTGTATGTTCTTGATTCTTACATGGGGGTGAGAGGTAAGAGGCCCTTGATGAGTAGCCTGCAGAATGTGCCATGACACTGCCAGAGCAGGGAACGGACAACTGCCTTCGTGCTCACCTCATAGTGCTATGACGAGTGTACATACCAGCATAAAGCCTCTCTCGTCAGACCCAGACAAATTGGGACCCAGAAAGCACAAAGGAGAGGAGCTTATGCTTGCATATTGAAGTTGAAAACTGTTTCAAAGACCTTTTAAAATAACCTCACAAGAATTCTCTCATGTCCCTCATGCATCTCGTGCTTTGCATGGGTTGTGTGTTTTGCATGTAGCCACAGATTTCTATGACAACGTTTGTCACTGGACATTCTTTAGGACTTGAGCATGTCAGATAAGATACTCTTGAAAGAACACTTGCCCAGTAACAGCATCTTTACCAATGAAATGAAGCCATCTGTGGCTTTGAGCTTTCAGAACCAATAAAATCAGTTTCCAAATAGCTTGTTTAAAGTTTTTTTTTTTTTTTTTTTTTGGTAGAGACAGAGTCTCTATCGCTCTCGGTAGAGTGCCGTGGCGTCAAACAGCTACAGCAACCTCCAACTCCTGGGCATAGGTGATTCTCTTGCCTTGCCTCAGGTGCCTGTCACAATGCCTGGCTATCTTATTGCAGTTTGGCTGGGGCCAGGTTTGAACCCGCCACCCTCAGTATATGGGGCTGGTGCCCTACTCACTAAGCCACAGGCACCACCCTTAAACTTCTTTTTGCTGATAACATCTTCAATTTACACGCCCCTCTTTGGATGCACCTGTGATTTGCTATAGCTGTGTACCCCAGGTTATGATCTTTTCTGCTTACTCCCAAATAAAATCAAAATATTAGGAGTTATTTATTTTTTTGAGACAGAGTCTCACTATGTTGCCCTCTGTAGAGTGCAGTGGTGTCACAGCTCATAGCAACCTCAAATTCTTGGGCTTAAGTGATTCTTTTGCCTCAGCCTCCCAAGTAGCTGGGACTATAGGTGGCCCCCACAAGACCCGGCTATATTTTGTTGTAGTTATCAGTGTTTGGCAGGCCTGGGCTACGTTCGAACCCGCCAGCTCCAGTGTATGTGGCTGGTGCTCTAGCTACTGAGCTGTAAGTGCCGAGCTCAAGTGATTCTCTTGCCTCAGCCTCCCAAGTAGTTGGGACTACAGGTGCCTACCACAACGCCTGGCTATTTTTCGGGATGGGGGTCTCCCTCTGGCTCTGAGTGGTCTTGAACCTGTGAGCTCAGGCAATCCACCCACCTGGGCCTCCCAGAGTGCTAGGATTATGGGTGTGAGCCCCTATGCCTGGCTCCTTTTTCTTTCTAAAATGTTTATTTCAATGTACAAAAAGTAACATTTAAACATTGTCATAAAATCACGATCAGTTTAACAAGTATAAAATAAGATTTCTGTAAGAAAGTTGACATTTAGGTATAAAATACTTAAAAATAAACTTTTGACATTCACAGTAGGCATTTTGGATTTTTTTTTTTAGAGATAGTCTTATTTTGTTGCCCTCGGTAGAGTTCTATGGCATCACAGCTCACAGCAACCTCCAGCTCTTGGGCTTAGGGGATTCTCTTGCCTCAGCCTCCTGAGTAGCTGGGACTACAGGCACCTGCTCCAACACCTTGCTATTTTTTGGTTATAGTTGTCGTTGTTTGGCGGGCCTGGGCTGGATTTGAACCTGCCAGCTCCGGTGTATGTGGCTGGTGCCTTAGCTGCTTGAGCTGAAGGCGCTGAGCCCACAGTAGGCATTTTGAAAAACAAGGTTTGCTAATGCAGCTTAAAAACAAAAATATATTTAAGGTCCCAGTTAAAATAAGTCCTTAACTGAGGAACAGTCCTCCCTCGAAATGGATCCTGTGTCCTTTTACATGTCTCTGTCATTCTTTGAAAAACCTTTATTGGCTTGGCATCTGTAGCACAGTGGTTAGGGCATTGGCCACATACACTGAGGCCGGTGGGTTTAAGCCTGGCCTGGGCCAGCTAAACAACAATGACAACTGCAACAAAAAAATAGCTGGACATTGTAGTGGGTTACTGTAGTCCCAGCTACTTGGGAGGCTGAGGTAAGAGTTGAGCTTAAGCCCAAGAGTTTGAGGTTGCTGTGAGCTGTAATGACATAGCATTTTATGGAGGGTGACATAGTGAGACTCTATCTCAAAAAAGGAAAAAAAAAAAAAAAGAGAGAGAGAGAAAATCTCCTTTCTTTCCTGGCCCATCTGACTCTTTCCCAGACCAACTTTTCAACCAAGAAGTATGAGATCTTTTTTAAAAAAAATTGAAGCATGCTGGGTTTGTTGGTTCATGACTGTAACCCCAGCACTGGGGAGGCTGAGGCGGGTGGATTGCCTGAGCTCAAGACCAGCCTGAGCAAGACTGAGAGCCTGTCTCTAAAAATGGCTGGGTGTTGTGGGCATTGTGAACTATGATGGCACTCTACCAAGGGTGACACAGTGAGACTCTGTCTCAAGAAGAAAAAAATTGAAGCAAAATTCACACAGCAAGGAATTAACCATTAACCATCTCAATGGGTACATTTCTGTGGCATTTAGTACATTTAGAGTTGGGCAACTACCACTTCATCTAGTTCCAAGAGATTTTCATCACCTTAAAAGGAAACCCCATGCCTAATGCAAAGTCATTACCTATTTCTCCCTCTCCCCAGCCGCCCACCTGCCCGCCTCTGATAACCACTAGTCTTCTTTCTGCCTCTGCATTTACTAGTTCTGGACATTTCATGTGAATGGAATCATACAATATGTATCCTTTTGTGTCTAGCATCTTTCACTTAGCATCCTGTTTTTGAAATTCATCCATATTGTAACATGTACCAGTACTTCATTCTGTTTTATGGCTGAACAATATTCCATTGTGCGGATATGCCACACTTCATTTATTCTCTCCTTAATAGACATCGATCAAGGTTGTTTCCACCTTCTGGCTATTGTAAATAGTGCTGCTATGAACACTTCTGTAGAAAATTTGTTTGAATACTTGCTTTATTTCTTACGGATGTGACAGAGCAGCAGAGAGGGAGTGAGAGGGGAAGAGAGTGAGGAAAGAGAGAAAAGAGAGCAGGGGTCATGGCTTGGTATCCCAAAGGAAAAAAACTGAAAACATGTTTTAAATTCTTTGGGGCATATTTCTACAAATGGACTTGCTGGGTGATCTGGTAATTCTCTGCTTAACTTTTTGTTTGTTATTTTTTTGAGACACAGTCTCTTTTGCCTGGGGTTGGGGTGCCGTGGCCTTAGTCTAGCTCACAGCAACCTCAAACTCTTGGGTTCAAGCGATCTGCCTGCCTCAGCCTCTGGAGAAGCTGGGACTACAGGCATGTGCCACCACATCTGGCTATTTTTTCTATTTTTAGTAGAGATGGGGTCTCACTCTTGCTCAGGCTGGTCTCCAACTTCTGAGCTCAAGGGATCCTCCTTGCCTCGACTTCCAGGAGTGCTTGGATTACAGGCATGCTCATTGAATTCTTTGAAGACTTAGCAAACTGTTTCCAAAGTGCACTATTTCACATTTCCAGTTTTTCCACATCCTTGCCAAATCATTCTTTTTTCTCTCCCTTCCCCCCCAACTCCTCCCCTTTCTTTCCTTCTGGGACCTCTTAGCAGACAGACCTGGATAGCACATATGTACACATATATCCGTTTCTATAAAAATCCATGAGTTCTTACTGATACCTCTGATTTCAACCGTTTTAGAAATACTAGGGCTGGGCTCGGCACCTGTGGCTCAACTGGCTAAAGCGCCAGCCACATACACCGAAGGTGGTGGGTTCAAATCCAGCCCGGGCCCACCAAAAACCACAATGATGGCTGCAACCAAAAAATGGCTAGGCGTGGCAGGCACCTGTGGTCCCAGCTACTTGGGCGGCTGAGGCAGGAGACTCGCTTGAGCTCAGGAGTTGGAGGTTGCTATGAGCTGTGATGCCACAGCACTCTACCCAGGGGGATAGCTTGAGGCTCTGTTTCCAAAAAAAAGATACTGGAGCTGGAATTCTTCATGTTTCAAGTAGAAGCCTGCAATGACAGAAAGGCCCCAGGGTGGGAAGCAAGAGGTGTATTGCCACCAATTTTGTTGCCAGCATAAGAAGTGGTGTAGGGATGGCTTTGAACTGGTGCACAGGATGTGTTCAGTTTCTGTAAGAACACACTCCTTGTTTTCCTCCTACCTCTCTGGACACTCTTTCCTTAGATTCCTTTTGGAATTTTCTCTGTTCATGCCTTAAATGCTGAGTGTTCCTCCTCTAGGTTCTGTAAAAAGCCTCCTGGTTGCCCCCCAAGTTCACTTTCTAGACTAGTTCATTGATTCTCATGTCTCCCTGTACCCTTTGGATGATAGTTCCAGAACACGTCTGCTGAGCTTCAGATAAACCTCTTGTATTACGCACCAAACAGCTTCACCTGAGTGTTCTGTTACTGCTAGTGTGATAAAATGAAACATCTTAAGTGCATTCATGTGGCCTATTTCACCCTCACTCCCTGTTGCAACTAGGTCTTCTTTTTTTTTCGAGACAGAGTTTCACTTGGTCGCCCTTGGTAGAGTGCTGTGCCATCACAGCTCACAGCAACCTCCAGGTATTGGGCTTAGGTGATTCTCTTGCTTCAGCCTCCTGAGTAGCTGGGACTACAGGTGCCTGCCACAATGCTCAGCCACAGGTGCTGCCCACAACTAGGTCTTCTTGCTGTTACCCAGTGGTTCCTAGTTGCCCAAACTAGAAACCTGGGTATCTCTGTGGGTTCCTGCCTCTCCCTCACTCCCTACAACCAATCATCTAGTTGTGAATATGGGGTCACTTTTCCTTTCTTAACCTCAGCAACAGTCTGAAGGCCCTTCTCTCACATGGGGAACAGCCATTGAAATCATCACTCTATATTTGTTCTCTCTAACCCTGAGTTTACAATGTTATGTTTGTCTGGAAGCGTTATACTGAATGAATGAAATTGCCAACTACTGGTTCACCTATATGTGATTTTGTAAATTGGTCAGACATCTGGGAAGCTAACTGTATTGTAATGCAAACTGAATAGTTACAGACTGGAAGGATGATGGGAGTTGGCCGAGTGGGCCTGACACAGCTGGTATTTTGTGGTGAAGGGGGACACCGGTTCAGTGAGATGGGACAGAGGGGAAGAGAAACTGAACTAAGGCTTCCAAACATTTTGCTCCGTTTAAAAGTAGAATGATTTGGCTCAGCGCCTGTGGCTCACATACACCTAAGGTAGGGGGTTCGAATCCAGCCCGGGTCCGCCAAACAACAATGACGGCTGCAACCAAAAAATAGCTGGGCATTGTGGTAGGTGCCTGTGGTCCCAGTTACTTGGGAGGCTGAGGCAGGAGACTTGCTTGCGCCCAGGAGTTGGAGGTTGCTGGGAGCTGTGATGCCACAGCACTCTACCCAGGCTCTGTCTCAAGAAAAAAAAAAAGGTAGAATGATTTGGATCGGAGGGGCTTTGCCTTAGAGTCTCCAGGGCAAGCCCAAGGCTGCTGTCCAGACCTCCGGGCCACTGTAGGATAAACTTGGCCTGTGAGAGAATCAGGTGGCGCCAGGTCCCGTGGCCCTGCAGGCCCGCGCCCAATCCGCTGGGTGGCAGCAAAAGCTCGCGGTGTCTCCAGACAGAGGCTGTTCTTCAATGCACCGCAGTGCCCCCTCTTTTTAAAAAACGAATTGCTCTAACGCACTCTACAATTCGAATCAGACTGGGTGACCAGAGACCACCTGTCGTTTCCTCCCAGAACTGTGTTTATTTTTTCCTGCCAGATTTTTTACTCGTTGCATCTCCTTCTTCCCCTGTTTCCAAGAATCCCAGACTTTTCCTGGCCTCGGAAAGGCCGTGCCGGGTTCCTCGGAGCGAGGAGCCGGAGGGGCGGGATGGGAAGGGGCGTGTGGGACGCCCGGCGCTGATCCGGCCCTGGGGGCGCCGCCGCAGGACCCCTCGGACTTAGGAACTGGGGGCAGTGCCACCTTACAGCCACTCAGCACCTCTGGGTACGACGGTGAAGATGCTGACCTGATGTTCTGGAGAACACCTTTAGAAAACGGCTTTGGGGGGAAGAAATTTGACGAGAGTCACCAAATCATACCTCCTAGCACACCGATCCTTGGGGAGTTCGCAAATGTCGCCTCAAACGTCGTCTCAAAACGAAAACAACCGCCTATCGTTTCGCGCCTCCAGCATAGGGTAATTATCACCAAGACAAATGAGGCGACCCGGGCTTTTTCGTGGCCCACGAGAGCGCCCGGCGGCAGGTGCGGCGGCCGGGGAGGGGCGCGCGAGGCGGCCCTGAGCCCTCCCCGGTCCCTTCCCACCCCGGGGCGGGCGGGAGGTGCTCCCCGAGGTGACAGGAGGAGGCGGGAGGTGGAGGAAAGAGAGGAGGGCCCGCCCCCACCTCGCTCGCCTTTACGGGAAGTGATGTGGGGCCAGACGGAAAATACCCGCCAAGGACCCAAAAAAGGCCGGCAGCGGTGGACGCGGCGCGCGGGGACACAGAGCTGCGGTGCGGCCAACACACCCGGGCCGAGCCAGGTGAGGGCGGGCGGCTGCCTGGGGCGCGGGAGGCGCGCTCGGTTCCCGGCCCCCGGCCGGTTCCCACCCAGCTGGGAGCTGAACCAGGTGCCCGGGGAGTGGCTTTGGAGACTGCGAACCCTCTGCTCCCCGGCTCCGGGCGTCGGAGCCCGCCAGAAAAGTAGTGTTGCCTCTCCCAGGCTCCCTGGACAGGCCCCACTGATGACAGCTGCCGGGGGTGGGAGATTAGCTGGGGCGAGGGGCGGGTCAGGGGTAGTTCTAGGTCTAGGGCTGGTCAGGGGTAGTTCTAGGTCTGGCCGAGGTCACTTCTGGGGGCATCCAGGTGCGGGAGGACACTTCGGAAGGAAAGGACCCTTCACCTGGGGGAGAGGAGGAAGGTCCCAGACCGCTCGCACTGTTTTCCGTTTATTTCACGTCTTTACACCTTGGTGGTCAGGGTCTGGACTGCAAACTAGCTGCTCCTGTCAGGCAGACAGACAATCCTACCTGGTAGCCAGGCCCTTGCGTGGTCTGATCTGATGACAGGCTTTGTAACTACTGCCAAACCCTTGACTCGTCCCAGTAGATCCCCAGTTAAGCCAAGTTAGGCCTGAAGGGAAGGAAATCCCCTGTAAGCCCTAGACTGAGCCTTCCCGCCTTGCTCCTGCTGGCCACCCAGACGCACGTGGCCCCAGGATTTTCTGCAGCTGGGGCCTCTTCCTTACCTCTGTGAATAAAGGCCTTTCTTCCTACAGGATGAATTCTCACTTTGTGCTTCACAAGTGTCAGTCCGATGTCGAGGTAGGGGGTAGGGAAATACGGTGTTATGCCATTAAGTTTTCTGTAATCATTGCTGATTGCTGATTAAATTATTAAATTTGCGAGTGCCCCATCCCTCCCTCCCTCCCTCCCTCTCTTCCTCCCTCCTCTCCTTCCTTCCTTTCTTCTTTCCTAACTTCCAACTTGCTTTAGGGGGAAAATAGCCTGGAAAACATTTTCTGCAGGTGGTTAGAAAGGAAGAAAAGTTAATATAATGCTGAAAGGATTTGTCTGAGGATTTGTCCTTTTTAGTATTTTATGTGGCTTTTTTCATTCCTACTTTCTATCTTCCTTCATTTTGTCCCTTTATTGCTTCTCTCTCCCTTCCTTCCTTTCTTTTCTTTCTTTCCTTCTTCATTTCTTTTTTTTTTTGAGACAAAGTCTCACTCTGTGTCTTGGGTAGAGTGCTGTGACATCACCACTCACGGCAACCTCCACTGTTAGGCTCAAGCGATTCCCTTACCTCAGCCTCTGGAATAGCTAGGATTATAGGCACCCACCACAATGCCAGCTAGTTTTTCTATTTTTACTAGAGATGGGGAGGGTCTCACTTTTGCTCAGGTTGGTCTTGAACTTTTGACTCAAGCAATCCACCAGCCTCAGTCTCCTGGAGTGGTAAGATTATAGGCATCAGCTACCTCACCTGGCTCCTTCCTTCCTTTCTTAATTTCATGACCTACCTTGATTATTATTATTATTATTTTTTTTGAGACAGAGTCTCACTTTGTCACTCTTAGTAGAGTGCCATAGCGTCATAGCTCACAGCAACATCCAACCCTTGGGCTTAAGTGATTCTCTTGCCTCAGCCTCCAAAGTAGCTGGGACAACAGGTGCCCACCACAATGCCCAGCTATTCTTTCTTTTTTTTAGAGACAAGATCTCACTCTTGCTCAGGCTGGTCTTGAACCTGTGAGCTCAGGCAATCTACAGTGGTAGGATCAGCTTATTTTTGAATCTCATTATTTCAAGAGATATCTTAGACAAAATAAATGTCCAACTAACTTTAGCTGAACATACCATCAAATTAAGGGATAAACCTTTGTTTATTGTCATCATTGGAAATGCCTAGTCCAAACATTTAATTTTTCTGGACCATACCACCAAGTATCTAGCATAACTATTTCCTTGTTCTACTGCTGCTGATAGACCAGTGTTGGTTATAATTCAATGGGATTTCCTGCTGAATGAGGAACTGTGAGAATTCTCAGTGAGAATTGAATTAATTTGACCTAGAAAGTATTGTAATTAACTTTCTATGTTATTTAAAAACTTGAATCTACTTCCATTGTTATTTAAACTTGTCTTAGAATGTGTCCTATCCAGATCTTCACTGCACAATATGGAAGAATTATTTTTACATATACATGGGGGTATGTGTATGTTCCAAATCATAAAAGTTTTAATATCTGACAAAACAGTGCTTTTGGGTTTAAAATATGAGCCAGTAAGAACCAAATTTTCTGGTCATTGTTAAAACAAGACTGGCTCTTGATGAGACTAATTTTTCCCTTTCTTACCCTTCATTCTTTATGCCTAAAGCAGATTTTGCTTGTACTATATTTGTTCCTAGGGCAGCGCCTGTGCCTCAAAAGGGTAGGGTGCTGGCCCCATATGCCTAGAGGTGGCAGGTTCAAACCCAGACCTGGTCAAAAAAAAAAAAGATAGAATCCCTATATTTGTTCCTCTGCCTCTCAGTCAGGAAGTTTGAGTTTATGATCTGGTTTCCCTTACGCTGATTGATTACCTTGGGAACAGACATTAGCACTGCGTTGAAAGCAAAGATAAAGGGTTTGTAATTAACTTTATGTCCATGGAGTGAGGTGTGCAGAGTAGGGAGCATTCAGCTTGTTTGGTCTGCTTTTTCTGCTTGGGGAGTATCAGAGGGCACACCAAGTTCTTTTTTATTTAAAAAAAATCTTCTTTTTTTAGAGATAGGATCTCGCTCTGTCGCCCAGTCTGGAATGCAGTGGTGAAATTGTAACTCACTGTAGCCTCCAAATCCTGGGCTCAAGCAATCCTCCTACCTCCCTGCCTCAGCTTTTGGAGTAGCTGGGACTACAACTGTGCCACCATGTCCATCTGATTTTTATTTTTTTAGAGACAGGGTCTCACTGTGTTGCCCAGACTGGTCTCAAACTCCTGGGCTTGAGTGATCCTCCTGTCTCTTCCTCCTAAAGTGCTAGGATTACAAGTTTCCTGTTTTTTTCCTCTGTATATGCAAACCTTGAAAAGACCTTCCATTTAATGCTTTAGCCAGCTACTCTTAGGACTATCCATGTATATGGAATCAGACTTTTACCTCTTAAGATTGAATTTTTTTTTTTTTTTTTTTTTTTTGCAGTTTTTAGCCAGGGCTGGGTTTGAACCCGCCCCCTCTAGCATATGGGGCTGGCGCTCTACTCCTTTGAGCCACAGGTGCTGCCCATTAAGATTGAACTTCTAATGCAGGGATGGAGGTAGCATGCCAGAATTAGCAAATAAAAACAGGTAAATTTGCATTTTGAGTCACTAATAAATAATTTTTTTCTATATCTCCTGCACTATTTGGGACATACTTTTACTAAATGTTATTTACCGGAAATGCAAATTTAGCTGGGTGTCTTATTTTTATGTGGCAGCCCTAGTTGGAGGTCATGCTTATGCATAAGAAACCCATTGATCCTGGCGGTGTTCCACGAATGACTGAGTTATGGCTCACTTTGGTGACTGTGTGTGTATCCATCTAAGTGAAAGAGAGGGATTGTAAACTCAAGAAGTATTGGAAGTAGAAAAAAGTTAGAAAACATTTAGTTTTATTCCAGTTTTTTATAGTTAAGGACACTTGCATCTGGAGAGATGAACACTTCTACAAAGTCACATAGGGTTAGTGGCAGACCCAGAACTGGGACTTGGGAGACCAGGTCTGCTACATGACTTTTTTCCTTAAGAGGTCATGTATAAGTTGCTTATGTTTTAGAGTTCACTCTTAATCAATCACTTCTGTTGTCACTCACTCCTTATGACTTCATTATCACCCTGGCCCTGCAGTCCCCAGATCCAGTATGTGGCAGCCAAAGCCATTCTCTTTTCACTTTTCTCTGAGTCATGTGATTGTTGAAAGCTAGTATTTGGTTGTATTCCTGTTTTGATGCCAGAAAGCTCAGTGTGTTTTTATCCCTTTTAAGGGCTTGTTAATGTTTGTGTCCCTTTTGAGTACGTATCATAAAATGCTTTGGTGAAGGTAGACTTACTTAGTGTAATTCTACAGCAACAGGTATTGTCTTACTGAAAGCCTGTTTGCTTTGAGCCTCCTGCTTCTACAACATACCTCATCACTTTGTATTTTGCTGGAATAAATATGAAAAATAGACATATGGCAAGGACCCATGTAGGAAGATTAGGTATATGTGACTTGCCCATTAGAGACGTGTCCTTTTGAAATACTAACTTATAAGTATATTTAAAGTTGTACCTTTTTAAGAAAGCAGCCTTGAAAATGAACATGCTTCCTTTCTCTGCCAGTAGAATACCATATTCCAGAACCACTAATCTTGTTTTTTCATAGCCTTGTTGGTTAATTCATATACAGCCTTACCAGCTGCCAGGTCAAAGCTTAATAATAAAGTCTGTTGCCAAGAGACTGAAAAATCTGTTCGTTCTTATTTGCTGCCCTTTAACTACCTTGGCCTGATCCCACCACATGGTGGTTTGTCAAGTCTCATCTGGGTATGGCTGGATAGTAACGTCCTGTGTATTTGTATCATTAAAAGCAGAGACGAAATATCTCAATCAGTTAGTTAAGTGTGATAATAGGGTACTTTTATTCTTGCTGTGCTACCCCTAATATGGGGGCATGACACATACAGAAATAGGTTACGACTTAAATATTCATTTGAGATACCTAAGAATTTTTATTTTTTCTTTTTTGAGGTGGGGGGATATGACCTTTATTGAGCTTATCCAGCAGAGTGGAAATAATGTCTGTACAAAACCAAATGTTTGCTACTACAACTTCTGCATCACAATTAAAATCCAAACAGTTTTTTTTTAAGAACAGTCAACTCAATCAAAACCCACTACTTTCAGAATCAACAGCTTCTTTGAAGCCACAGTAACACATAAATTTGGTTAAGACCTGAATGCAGAAATTTGGTTGGTTGGAAAGCTAATTAAATTTCCAACTTGCTCAAATAGAATTACAAAAAGGCAAAATTGTGTTTTTC